AGGCTGGAGGGGAGATGGGTCCAAGGGAGCCATCCCACGTGTGAGCATCCCCCTCTGGAGAGACTGGCAGAGCAGGGCAGGCGCTCACGGGCTAAGGGCTCACACCTGCCCCAACGACTGAGTGAGGCACTCCCCCAGGAAGGGCCCTGGGCCCCAGTGCTGACAGAGGGGAGCAAGGGAAATTTGCAGGAGGTGTTTGCTGGTCCGCGGAAGGAGAAATGCAGGTTAGCAGGAGCAGGCAGCTTGGACCCCAAGGAGAAAGCCTGTGGTGGTCTGCCTGGTCCTGCTCTGAGCCTGGCCACGAGGCTGGCTCCAGCTCCCACCAGCAGTGCTCTGGCAGTGGGTCCCTGCACGGGGTGACCCTGGGGGTCTCCCCTCCCCATCCTGTGCACAGCTCCCCTGGGCTCCAGACGCAGCAGATGGCTGTGCCCTGGGAAGCGCAGCACCCTCCAAGTGATGGTCCCCCGTGTCCTGGACCACCCCACCCCAAAGATGCTGGGCAGGGGACGCCTTGGCCCAGCGAGGGGGTCAGCAGAGCCCCTTGGGCAGCAGCCTGGGCCCCCTCTGGCAGGACAGCGAGTGGGTGCCGGGACGGACCCTCACCCTGGGAATGAGCAAGGTGGGCAGGTTTCCAGCACCGTTAATCAGGGCTGCGAGAGCTGGGATTAATGTGCACTCCAAGACTCTCCAGTCCCAGCTGTGATCCAGCCCTCTGCTCTCAGCCAGAGCCGCCTTCACGCGCTGAATTATCAGCCTGAGTAATTAAGTGGAGAGCTTTGTTTTAATGCAGACATCTGATGCCTTCACACCAAGGAGCACAACAACTGTCGCGGGTGTTTATGCTCCGTGCAACACATCTGGCTCACAGGGAGAAAATCCATCTCCGCTGCTGTGCGAGATTAAATGGAACACGGCCTGGGTGTGGAGAGAGGAGGGACAGCTCGGCAGCCAGCGTGGAGGGCAGGATTTGTCCCTGAGCATTGCCCCGCTGGCTCCTCGAACCCCGCTGGCAAAGGGCTGTGGTCCAGGGCTGCCTGGCAAAGCACGTATCCCCTCCACTCCTCAGCGCACAAGGCAGCACAACGCGTTGCGAGATGAGGGCTAATTATGGGCTTGGAGATAAATGGAAATAGGGCAAAATGAAACATGTGTTTCTCGGAGGTAGATGGTGCCTGGCTCACCTGATACCTGCTGTTGATAAGGGAGCTGGCTTTCAGGGGAGGAGGGATGCAGATCTCAAACCAGCCGCTGTGCCACGCAGAAAATTATTGCTTTGTACAGATTAGGGGATTAGCACCAGCGCGAGGAGCTGGAAAGAGGCTGGTGTGGGAAGGAGCCAGGCTGCGGGGAGAGAGGAGATAGCGGGAAGGGGAGAGTCTGCTGCTGGGACCACTGCAGATGCGCCTCATTTAATAGCTTCCTGTGTCACCCTGCAAGTGGGGGGCATGGGGGGGATCTGCTGATGCCACAAAACCACAGGTCTTTTCTCTCTGCTCGCCCCCCGAGCCTCTGGTGCTTTGCTCATCGCACCCACTTGCGATGTCTGAATGGTCTCACAGATATTTAGTGCTTTTCTTATGGAGCAGCTTGGCTGGCCAGGCGCTGGGGCGAGCTGTGCCTTTGAGAGCCCCTTCCCCACCTGCTCTCCCCAGTGTCTCGCAGCTCCCGGGGACCCCATCACTTTGTGGGTGCTGGCAGCAGGAGGACTCCCTTGCTCGCTGCCCCGTGACAGGGCTGTTTCCATGAGAGAGCCTGCCATCGTCTCCGGCAACTCCAGCCCTGGCTCCTTGGCACGGCCGGGACAGGGGAAGGGGCTGTCAGGGCCGAAGGGGACGGCAAGAGGGACTCCTGGGTGAGGGGAAAGGAGGCTCCGGTCATGGAGCCAGGAGTGTAACTGCTGCGTGTGGTGCTCCCAGCGTGAGCATCAAAGGAACCCCATCAGGAGAAACTGTTTTCAAGGAGAAACGCTCCAGGTGGTTTCCAGCAAAACCCACACTCTGGGCTGCTCCTCCACTGAGAAAAACATGTTGAAATTTGGCCTGGGACCTCTGACCCTGTGCTGCTCTGGCCAAGGAGCAAATGCCATTGCGGTTGAGCGAAGCCGCCCTGCTGTGGCTCATCCAGCTCCCCGTGGCATTGGGCAGCTGGAGCTGGCACAGCTCTGCTCCCCGGCAGGGCTGCCCTCGGGGACCGGGCACTGAGAGATGCTGCTCCTGGGCATGGGGATGCTCAAGGGCTTTTCGGAAAATCCAGCGACAGAAACGGAGCTGGGGGAGTTTGGACAAGCAGCACAAAACCAGCCGGCTCTCGAGCAGCCTGGGGTAATCTGAGACTGGGAAATTCGAGCTGAAGCAGCAAGGGCCGCGCAGCCACCTCCAGGCAAGCAGGCTGATTTATTGCCTGTATGGAGCCGAAATTGCTGCCCATGCTGGGCAGAGAGGCAGGACCAGATCCCCCACCTGGAGATGTTCATGGCAGAAGATCAGAAACGCCGTGCAAAAGAGACGCACGGGAATGGCTTGAGCCCTCCCAGCCAGTCGTGCCTGGCTGGGCATGACTGCCGCCCACGCATGATGCCATTTCCCAGCCAGAGCTCTGCAGGCAGGAGCAGAAGAGCCCTGAAGCTGCAGGACGGCCCTGGGCATGCGGAGGTGGTGGCCCCGAACGGGTGCAGCAGGGGCACTGGGCTGGCTATGGGCACTGTCCCATAGGGATTAGGCATGGGGCTGCATCCAACAAGCCGGTCCAGATGTGACCCCGGTGCTCCTGGCACAGCCACCCCAGGAGCCAGGGCACGGAGCGGGAGTTGCGGCACGTTCACCTGGAGTGGGAGAAGAGGGGCTGCCCCCGCCGGCGCTGCCCAGACTGGTGTCACGCGATGCCACCACACGCCCCGGGGCTGCCCCGTCCCCCTCCCCTCCTGACAGCTGCACCCAGCCCAGGTGGGGGACGGCTGTCCCCGCCAACTGGAATTAATTGCCTGAGATGCTATATCAAATGCTTTAATAAAAGCCTGATATATCACACCTCTTGTCTCCTCTCCATCGATTCATTTAGCAATTTTACCCAAAAAAGGCAATCAAGTCGGACTGGGCAGATTTATTCTGTGTAAGCTCCGAGCACATCTTTATTGCTCCCCGTTCCCCTGCCCTCAAGGTCCTCAGAAGCATTTTTCTCTTAATATTTGTTCTATTATTTTACTAGGGTTGAAGCTCTGTTGATGGGTAGTAATTGCCTGGACTGCCCTGCCTTCCTGTGATGAACATTGGTACCTTACCAGCGGCTGCCTCCCGCTACCCTGTTCTCCTGTCCTTCCTCAGCAACATTATTGACTAGGAAAGTTCATTAACAAGGCCCTTAATGACTGCAGCCGTGCCAGCCCAGCCCATGACGCTAACCTCTCCCATGGTTTCCCTTGGTGGCTGCCTGCAGGAGGAGATGTCGCAGGATGTTTTCTGCATCTCCGGAGCCTTGTGGGTGCCTGAGCCACTTCTAAAACCCTGCTGACTTCCCTCGCTGGTGGATGCTGTCCCTGCATGGGCTCTCATCCCCCCCGTTTTTGAGGACCGACCCCTCCGGGCAGGCAGGGCAGAAGAGGTCTAGGTCACCAGTGGTGGAGAGCTTTTTGGGGTGTCCTGGGAGCATCCTTGAGGCCACCTGCCCCCCCCCAGCAGGGCTCCTCCGTGCCGGTGTTTGCTCTGCTGTCTGCCACCCCAGCGCCGGCAGCCTTGCGAACCAGTCTGGCACCGAGCCAAACGTGATGCCGGGATTAGGCACTGCCTCCTACAAATGAGCTGTTAATTATCATAATCTGGTAATTGAGAAAAATCTAATTATGCAAAGCTAATGGATTTAGAGCTGTGCTGGGGAGCACAGGCCAGGGGAGCGCAGCTGGGCAGGGCCAGCATTGCTGGCCTGTGGCTGCAGGCACCGTGGGGCCTTGCAGTGCCTTTCATTCCACTCCGGGGCTCCGCTGGGGTGTCCGGCCAGGTCCGAGGATCCGCAGGAGAGAGCCCAGCCCTCTCGCTCCCCTCCAGCCCCACTGGGCCTGGGCACCACCTCCTCCCTGTGCCCAGGCATCCTCGCCTCTGATTTCCCCATCTTCCCTCCCGGGAGGTTCCTGTGCCCAGTGTGGGGAGCAGGGTGGGGGAACGCAGCCCGCCCTCCCAGCTTGGGCATCCTCCCTGATCCCGACCTGTCCTCCCCGGCCCCAGGGACACGGCTCTGCTTTGCGGCTCTGCTTTGCTCCCACTGCCAGCGAAACAGCTCTGCGGGATGTGCCCAGGTGAGTGCATGCATGGCAAGCCCGGTAGGGAAAAAAAAAGGAAAGGCAGTATCTTTTACTAGACCAACTGAGATGGTTCAGAAAGGGAGATAAGCTTTTGAGCACACGGGTGCTTCTCAGTGCTTACAAGCAACAGTTTTCCTCAGCTATATCGCTGGCCTCATAAAAGATTTTGTCTCTTCCTCGAGGGCGAGGGATGCTGAGCTGTGCCAGCCCCAGCACTGTGCCAGAACTCCTGACCTCAAGGTAGTGCCACACCGGAGAGGCTGGCAGCATCCCCGTGGTGGCAGGCAGGTGGTACCAGCACCCAGCACTCCCCTGGGGTCTGTGTCACTGCCCCCCGAGTGCCCTGCCACCCCCCACCCTTGCCCTGTGCTCGCAGGAGTCTGACTCTCGCAGATTTTGGGGGGTCCAGGGGAGGTGCTTGAGCCCAAGGGTGCAGGAGCTGTGACAAGAGTGACACTTGGCACCTTGGCTCCTTGGCCAGCCCGATGTCTCGGATCTGTGCTCCTGCAAGGCTGGTGTAGATCTTGGGGTCCCCCCACATCCCCGTGGCCATAGAGCCATTGCCCCCCGAGACACGCCTGCCCACACACCTCTCCCGAGCCCAGGGCCATGCAGCCCTGCTCAGGCGGCTGCTACATGCCCTGGCAGGGGGATGTGAGGAGTTTGCCTGCTTCTCCCTCCCCGGGGAGCCCACTCTAAGTGCACAGAGATGGTGGAAGTGAGCAGGACTCCAGCTAATTGCCTGCAACCCCGGGGGACAGGCGGTGAGAGCGCCCTGAGCTTTCCAGGACATTTCAGCCTCTGGCTCCAGTTCCTGCAGGATGCGGCGATCGCTAAGTATGTCTGTGGTCTTGGCACTCAGCGAGCTTCCCGCTCGGGGCAGGGTGCGGGCAGCACCACATCACGCCAGTCCCGCCCCGGCACTGGCGCATGCTGCCTGCCGCACAGCCCAGCCCACCCACCTGCCCGTCGCTGTGCCAGTCATCCGCTCCTCAAACCTCTTCCAGAACCTTGCGCTCAGTGGG